GAATACAAAGTTCAAAGAAATAAGGTGAAAAGTCTGATTTTCAGGAGGCGACGAGATTTTGAGAGTAATTTGCCCCACCGAGCCGTTAAAAATCCGAAATTGCTCTACAGCTATTTGCGGAAAAGCACACGTAATAGGAATCCCATTCCTGTTATGAGGGGTGATGACGGCTTGGAGATATCGGACAGTACAAATAAGGCTGAGCACTTTTCTCAGTTTTCCGATCCGTTTTCACAAGAGAAGCAGACTTTACCCCATCTAATTCTGAGAACATAAGAGATGCCACTATCGAAAATATTGTGTTTCGAGAAGAAGCGATTTTGGAAGAACTTAAAAGCTTGAAGAAATGTAAATCTCCCGGTCCGGACGAGATCCCAGCAAAGCTGCTCTTTGAGCTTGCCCAACAGCTGGCCAAGCCATTATCCTTTCTGTGCCAGAAATCGTTTGATGCTGGAATTCTTCCCACAGACTGGAAGACGGCCCACATTACAGCCCTTTACAAAAGCGGTAGTCGTGTTCTGGCGACAAACTACAGACCCGTCAGTCTGACATCAATCTGCTGCAAAGTGATGGAGAAAACCATCAAAAAGGAGTTGATGGCTTACTTGGAAACCCACAACCTGTTGTCCAATGCACAATATGGTTTCCGTAGGGGAAGATCATGTGTTACGAACTTGCTATACACAATGCAAAGTTGGACACGAGCACTGGACGCAAAAAACACCGTGCATGTTGCCTATTTTGATTTTCGGAAGGCGTTTTACAGTGTTCCGCACCTGCGTCTCCTACACAAGTTGAGAATTATGGGCATCGGTGGCAAAATTCTCAAATGGATCGAAAATTTCCTTGTCGACCGCTCCCAAATTGTCTGCGTAGAACAACAGCAATCAAGGTGCCCATTCATAGAGAGTGGGATCCCACAAGGCTCGGTGCTCGGACCAACCCTCTTTCTCTTGTTCATCAATGATTGTGTAGATGGGATGGACTGTGATTGTGCCATGTTTGAGGACGACATAAAAATCTGGAAAGTCATCCAGAATGCTGCCGATGAGGCCAACTTCCAAGAAAATCCTTGTCGATTGGACGAGTGGTCCCACAGATGGCTCCTGTCCTTCAATTTGAACAAATGAACCATTCTGCGCCTCGGAAATCAGAGCCCTAGTACGCGGCAATACCGTCTGAACGGAACGCCACTCCGAGAAGCAGAAACTCAGAAAGATCTCGGAGTTTGGGTTGCAGACAGCCTTAAGCCTTCTACACAATGCTGTAAGGCGGCCTGGGCCGCAACCTCAATGCTATATGCCATTAAGCGGGCATTCGGAGTTTTTGATGAAGACTGCGTCACCAAAGTCATCGGCACGTTTATAAGGCCCCATCTCGAATATGCAATTCAGGCCTGGAGACCGTGGACGCATCAGGATTACGATCTGCTCGAAAGGGTGCAGAGACGAGCAACAAAATTAATAAGAGGTCAAAGTGCACTGCCATAAGAGATCCGCTTAACTAACCTTAAACTCTATCCTCTGAGTTATAGGCAGTTGCGCGGAGACATGATACAAACTTTCAGTATTGTGCGCGGCTTGGATTGTGCCCTTCGGTGCGATGACTTTTTCCAACTCGCCACAACAACTAATCTCCGGGGACATCCATTTAAGCTACGTGTGCCCCAGGGTAGTTTGAATGTAGGAAAATATTTCTTCTCCAACCGTGTCGCGGAACCGTGGAATAATCTGTCCGAGATGGTTTTCATGTCTCAATCTGTGGAGACATTTAAATGTCGCCTTGACAGATATATGCTGCAGCAACAAGCGGACTATGTGACTTTTTATCCATGTGACTAGTGTCATATGTGAATCAATGTATGCATTCACTTAATGCTGTAATTTCTTCACATTTTTGTTTACTTATCGATTTTTATGTACAAATAGGGAGTTCAAAGGCGTAGGCATATTTCCCTCAAATACACTGACTGACTGACTGACTTTCTCTAGGCTATTGATGTTGGGATGTGGATTCAGGTTGTCGATTTCCCCACCCGAGGATCAAGCATACGTGACCTGATTTTCCGTAGAGGCTGCATACCTTCGTCTTTGTCATCTCTTGGCCCAATCGGGGGCTCAGACCATGACATAGTTGCTTCAGCATTGGAATTCGAGGCTGACAAAACGTTGTCCCCAAAGTATAACTTTTTCCGCGATTTCCGATAAACTCGCTCGACCGAATTATTAACACACCTTAATTCCTTCGACTGGACTGATTTCTTCCTTAGTTCGGATGTAAATGCTTGCACTGCAAAACTGTACGAAATTTTGGATCCGCTTATTTCTCGTTTTTGTCCCCCGTAAGAAAGTAATTAATGTTGGCGATGAGGTTTTCCTACCCTTACCCTTCGTCGCAGCTTGCGCAGATTTTATCGTCGATTCCATCTTCAGAACGGCTTTTCTGTTCTTTCGGAATAGGTGGCAAACTTTTAAATTCCATATCCTCTTACCTGGGCACTCGTACACAAAGCGTTAAGATTTCCAATACTATCTCCAACCCCAAACGTGTGAGGAGTGGAGTCATCAAGGGTAGTGTACTCGGCCCACTCTTATTTTGCCTTTTCGTTAATAATTTACCCGATTTATTTCAAAATGTTAAGCCTTTCATGTATGCCGATGATCTTAATGTTGCATATCGATATAAGCCGGCAGATCGTGACATAGTGCTTGAGCTCCTAAAGATTGACCTACAGGCTTTCGCCCGGTGGTGCCGCACATGGCGCCTTCCTCTTTCTTGGCATAAGTGCTCAGTCATGGTGGTTGGCGACGACCGCCAACCTCGACTAATTATTGACGGTCACGCCATAAATGTGCCTGGGTTAATTAGGGATCTGGGCGTATGATACTCCAAGAGTCTCAATCTCTTGGAGCACTGTGCCTTGATGGTCTCCAAAGCACGTAGAACGACCGGGTTTATCCTCCGAAACTTCAAAACTAGGGAAATTAGAATGCGCCTTTACAACATGTACGTTAGACCCGGCCTGGAGCACTGTTCGTTTTTATTCAGCCTCATGCGTGCAACTGAGCGGAAGAAAATAGAATCCGTTCAGCAGTTTTTTACCAAGAGAATTTTGACACCGGAACACCGACATTCGTCTTACCAAGAACGTTGCCGGCTTACAGGCCTTGATCCTTTATGGTTCCATAGATTACAAAAGGGGCTATTTTTGCTATTTAAACTCTTATATAATCACACATTTAACCCGCTCACCTCTTTAAGACATCATGCCCACCCCCGACGTAACAGACACCGTGAGGTCCTTTTATTTCTTCCTCTGGCACGTACTGTTAAATATCGTCGGTTCTATTATGTAAATGCAATTGCTATTTGGAATAAACTACCCAGGAATGTAAAAAATCCGCAAAATTATCCTTTATTTAAGAGAACTATTACTCGATTTTTGCATTCAGAAAAGCTTCCTCAAATTTTGGGTTCTGAATCCACTGATCGACTGTACCGTAGCGATGGTGTTTATGGCCTCTGAACACTATGGCCGGTCTCACCAGGGACAATTTCTTCGGCCAACAGCGACATCTTTTCTTCGGCGCCTCTATTTTGACTATCCCCAACTTCATGAAAGGAATTGGCGTCTGATAATCTCCGATACCGTGCAACCCCTCCCTTCTTGACGGTCGAGAGTTTGTGAAAAGCTCCCACAAATTTTGGGTGCTGAAACCTCTGATCGACTCTACCGTTGCGATGGCGTTTGTGGTCTCTGACCACTATGGCCGGTTTCACCAGGGAAAATTTCTTTGGCCAACATCAACAGATTTTCTTCGGCGCTTCTGTTTGGACTAGCCCCAACTTCATGAAAGAAACTTGCGACTGCTATTATCCAATACCGTGCAGCCCCACCCTTCTTGACGGTCAAAAGTTTGTCGCCAGCAGGGTTTTTTCTCCTGAACCCTCCAAAGCATAAAAACCATTAACTGTATTTTTACTCCTTACCCACAGGAGTTTTTTTTCAGTGCTGGCCGGATTTGTGTTTGACGTTTCCCTGACAATGCCTGTAAACTGTCATTAAATAAATTATTATTATTTTTATTATTATTATAACAGTGTAATTTATTTTAACATCGTTAGCCCCTAGCTGAAATCCAGTCAACTTGTCTGTCAGAAGTTTTCTTAATCACAACTGGCCTTGAGACAAGATGAGAGCAAAAGTCACAGGTCGGCATAAGCTCTCGGCCTCTGTAAGTATGGCTTGACTAAACCTAAGTCAGAAGGCTTACTTAAATGTAAGTCAGATGGTATTACTAGTCAGTCGTCACCCGTTGTAATTGGTCGGCAGCTTAATCTGTCTGCACTTGACAACTGCAATGACTTTATGCTAAAGTTTGGCACTTTGCTGTCAATTCTTGGAAATTTATTCGACGGGAACATCTCCGATATTCCCTCTGAAGAATGTAGGCGTCTGGACCCACTTGTTCACCTGATCGCTAGTGAATCTTATGATAGGCAAAAGCGTTCTTACAACTTTCTGCTAAAAAATGTTCCCGATCTGCTCGGCCAATTGATATGGCGACCAATTTCCTGTATTCGTGTGGTTTCAACTACAAAATAGCCGATGCTAAACGCTTGTCCTCCCGTAGCAAAAATCCACTTATCTTAGTCAAATTATTTTCATCAATCGAGGTTGACGCAATATTCGCCCATCCAGATCGTGTCTCTGCGTACCTGGAAAGTGCAAAATTTTTCCTCTGTCAGGATCTTACTCCCATGGAGCGTAGAATCGGGCCTCTCTTCTCACGCAAACCCGCTGCCTCTTAGTCTAACGCTCACCAACTCGGTCATAATAAAAGTGGCCGTGAGGATTCAACTTCTCCTACTCCTGCGACATCTGACTCCCTCCTTCCCCTTACTCCTACATCTCCATCTCACTCAAGCCACTTGACGCATTTTCTTGCCCCTATACTAGCAGCAGCAGCAGCTGCTGCTACTAAGTGAGAATTAGGAAGATGACTTATCAGTTTTTGAATACATTCAGAAGAAAAATTAATGATGCCTCCGGAGGCAACCATCAGGCGTCAGTTGATGAAACCAATAGACCCACTGCCACGGCAAGAAACGTCTGGAGTCGTTTATCGGATCTGGTGCAGTTGCAGACAAAGCAACTACGTCGGATAAACCGAAGACAACTCCAAACGCGAATGGCCGAACACGCTGCAGCGGTGCGAAGAAATGACGCCAGCTCTCAAGTTGCGGCTCATTCGACGGGTTCCGGCCACATATTCAAATTTGACGAGGCCGAAATTCTCGCAAGAGGTGCCAACCGCGTGAGCCGGGAGCTACTTAAATCATGGTTTACTGGCCCCCAGTCTATTGATAAGTGCAATGATCTTCCCATTCACTACACCGTGCTGAGTCTTCGTCTAGGCGGAGTAATTGGCCAGGCGGGGAGCGCACAGGTGAACACTCTTCCCAACGCCCGGGTCAGCGCGTCAGATGGTCGAGCAATCATCACACCAACATCCAACGCACGTGATGAAATTGCAGCAATTAACGACGCGAACGTCGGCCATCACGCCACGTGCAACGATCCCTGATGAAGGGGTGGGAGCCGTGAATATTCATAGGTATGCGGTAGCATGGCTACTGCATCCTGTAAATACTGCAGCCACATGTGCATGAACCACCCTTATCTGCTTTTGTCTCTGATGATGGATTCGAGCAGAAATCCGAAACGTCAGGCTAATAAAGCTCTTGTCCCGGCGATCGAGTCTTCTTCCTCTTCTTCTTCTTCTTCTTCTTCAATCATTACTACTATTACTATTATTTCGGAACATGGGTGTTCGGAAGAACACGAAGGAGCTGCAATCTTTTGTGGAGTCGGTCAGCTACTAAGGTCCTTCATCGCGGGGTTGCATAGTTAACAACCTCCACTCAGGCAACTTCCTTGCAAGGACGTGGAAGTTGTTTGGTCTCCAGAATGTCAAAACGCATTTGATGCCATAAGGACGAATATATGCGACTCGACTATGCTATCGCACTTTGAGGCTGACAAAGAAACCATTGTCCAGGTAGACGCTTTTGATTTCGGTTTACGCGGAATGCCTCTTCAGAAGGACGCAGATGGGAGAGTTCAGCCAATCGCAAGTGTCCGCAGGTCATTGACGAAGGCAGAACGGAACTATAGCCAGATCGAAAGGGAGGCACTGGCTATTATCTTCGCCGCACAGCTGTTTCACCTGTTCATTTATGGCAGACCTTCACACTGCATACAGATAAATAAATAAATTTTTAATTTAATGCCAGTTTACAGGCATTGTCAAGGGAAGCGATTAAAGACAAATCCGACCGGCAGTGAAAAAAAACTCCTGAGCTTAAGGCATAAAAATATAGTTGATGGTGGTTTTTGTGGTTT